TGGCTGGAGGTGCAATGGCTGATGCAGAACTTCCCTGGGTTCAAACCCCGGCTCTGTAGCATCCTACATATTTGATCTTGGACAAGTTACTCAACTACTCTCTGCCACAGTTTTCTTTCCTATGAGATGGTGGCTAAGGTCAATCTTAAAAAGTGGGGGGAGAAGAGTTTTTACAAGGCTTAAAGCATTCAGAACAGTGCCCAGCACAGTACATCAGGATAGGAGTTTTTAAAGTAAACATGTGGCATACCCATACACGTTGAAGGTAGTTTCTCTCAGCTACTCTTGCTCAGGAGGCACTGTTGCCATGTCTGGCTCTCAACTTTTTCCCAGTCCTTCCTTCTAGTAATACACAGGTATTATTTCCTGAGCCTCACTTCTTATACAAAATCTATTTCAAATTGTCAAAAAATAAGTTACTCTTAAAGGTGAATACATTTGCAATATGTTAGAATTGGGGTTCACCTAAAATTCCATGAGGACCTACCAAACTTTTCCGTGTCACTATAGGCAATTCTAATGTAAATTGAGTCCCTTGCACCCTTACGAATCTGTCAAAGCAGACAAAATTATACTAACTGAAATAGAGCCAACATCATGAGCTCTTGTCTCACTTTCTCAAAGACAGACCTTAGTCAACTCCATTCCCCTTTCCTAAGTTTTATCCGGTCATGCGTGGGGACTCTCAGGTATCTCACGTGAGCCATCGCACTGCCACCACGTCCAGAGGCCACCTTTTGAATGCCAAACTCTGGTGAAGGTCCCATCTCCCAAGATTCCTAAAGCTGAAGGCCCATTTTGCATGCAGCATCCATGGTGCTGTTTTCAACGCAAAATCAGGGAAAATATTCCCCTCTCCCGAATAGTATCACAATTTGCTACCTGGGAACCAAGGAGTGCCTACTTTACCCAGATCCTTGCTGTCAAAAGGTTCTCCCATTTCTGCTTGCAGCCCCTGCTTTCCACTGGTCTAGGCCTAAGTCCTGGAAGCCTGACTGGTAGAGGGTGCAGCCTTTTCCCACCCTAATTTCCCCTAGTACCTACTCCTCCTTCAGGAAGACACCAACAAGAAGCCTCAAGCAATTTTCCTAAAGGCCAGCCCACACCTTCATGGGATTACTCCCTGACAAGTCAAAAGCCACAGCTGAGGCTAGAGACAGGCACCTGAACTTGCCCTCATCGCCTGTGGATTTCGTCTACTTTCCTCTCATTTTTCATAATCTGAATGATGTTTGTTACAGCGATGTCTTTCTTTTCCTTAGAATTTACTTCCAGTGCTCAATCTATGAACTGCCAATTCTGGGCTTAGTTTGAAAATCAGTCTTCCAGGTGATGGATGGATCTAGTAGCAATCATAATTGTATACTTGCTCAATATACAATGGGTTAAGATTACATACCTTGTTTTGTGAAATGTTTCAATCCCAGAGATAAAAGCTATTCCTCTATTACCTTCTCCCCCACCTGTGATGCCTGGTTGTGGGAGTGAACTACAGTGGTCCGGTGCTGGGGTAAGAACTGGCTGTCTTGAGACAAGGAAGACATGCTTGTCTTGTTTCTCTGTGCCTGTTGACACTGGCTTGCTTGGGACCTCAGTCAGGCCAGCCAACACTTGCTGCCTATTCCTCTTTAAAGGAAGTTCAGAGCCATCCTATCTGCAAAACTTAACAGTGTTTAGCTTGGAGATCACTCTTGAGCCCTCTACCTAGACTGTTTTCATATGGTTGCTAAATGAATAATTAAATCAACCCAATTAGCTAGACTTTTAAGCGTAACTCGTATCCTATTGTCTGAAGCCCACAAGGAAAGGGCTCTATTTTCTTTTGTTGTTGTTGTTCCATGTTTTTGCTCTGAGGCCATTAATGACTTAATGGCAGTATGGACTAATGATCTGATAGAGACTAGTTCAAATTCACTATTTTGAGAACATAGGAGTTACTCAATTTCAGAATTATGAACCCCATGATACTTAGCATAATAATAGCCACTAAATGTATGCCATTGGGATAACCTAAATCATTTCATCTAGTTGGCAATTTGATTATGTGTAGGATGGAAAATTAGTTTTATCTTTAAAAACACCCCATATAATAACAACTTTACTTAGAGTCTTTGAGGCATAAATAAATTGGCCACGAAATACAAACATTTGTTGTTGAGATCAATGGGGGTGAGAAGCCTCCCTGGTTCCATTTAGAAGGATTTGATGATGGTCTTCAAAGTGCTTGGAAGCTCTAGCACAATAAACACTTTGAAGCACAATGCTTTGTCATCCTCCTGCCTTAGGCCTGCCTGTTTCTGGCATAGATTAAGAGTGTTTGTCTTTTTTTTTTCTCTTTTCTTTCTTTCTTTCTCTCTTTCTTTCTTTCACAATGCAAGAGTTTTCCCTTAATGACTGCCTTTATCCCATGTGAGTACCAAGCTTTTCAAATGGCTTAGGCCATGGTACTCAACTGTGTTGAGACAACTTCATTAATGAGAGGCATATTCCATGGGATCTTTTGTTGCCACATTACAGTGTTTGTGTTAGAACATTGTGTCCCCCACACAACAGTGATGCAGGCACTACCACCACCATGACAGTAAAAATCACAGCAGCAAATTAACTCTGGCCTTGGGTGGCTTTTTCAGTGTTCTTTTCTGACAATGATGGAAACTCCTCTCAACACATCCTCTGTCTTTCTTAGGAAAAATCAGCTAAAAAAAAATTCTTCATCATTTTTCTTGAAGCAATTAGCCAAAACCACCTCCAGATTTTAACTGCCATATTTTCTGCAAGAAAAACACTTCTTTGATGTCCATTGAGTGAATGTGAAGTCATGGTTGAACTTCTAGGATCATGGGCTCTTCTTGAAATTGGATATTGTCTGTCATTTGGGGCAATTGTCCATTTCTAAGAAGTCTGAAACAGCTCTGTAATTCTTTGCTTGTGGATAAGCAAGTTGCCTTTTCCATTTTCCTTACAATAATTATATGAAAATTAAAGAAAGCCTAAAAGAGTGTAATGGAGAATTCTAATGACTCCGGCCTTTTCATGGCCCAAAGAGAGCACTCTAAATTGAATCAATGTAGAAATGCCAGAATTCTTTTAAAGAAGCTAGCACTTGATTTGATGCAAAAAAGGAATTATTACACTGCTCTATTTCCTTTTGTCAGTTTGGGCACCTTGTCAGACAATTGTTTTATATTTTTTTTTTTTTTTTGAGACAGAGTCTCACTCTATTGCCTGGACTAGAGTGCCATCAGCCTAGCTCACAGCAACCTCAAATTCCTGGGCTCAAGCAATCCTTCTGCCTCAGCCTCCTGAGTAGCTAGGACCACCATGCCTGGCTAATTTTTTCTATATATTTTTAGTTGGCCAATTAATTTCTTTCCTTCCATTTTTAGTAGAGACGGGGTCTCGGTCTTACTTAGGCTGGTTTTGAATTCCTGACCTTGAGTGATTTGCCCTCCTCGGCCTCCCAGAGTGCTAGGGTTACAGGCGTGAGCCACCACGCCCAGCCTGTTTTCCATTTCTATATGAAATGGATTTAGATATTAAATGATAACACATTCTCTCTCATCCCCATATATGAGTATATATCCTGTACATATTTATACATTTTATATATATTTTATATGTATACATGTGTGTATATTATACATACATATATATGCATATTCAATATATTTTTCTATACTGAACTCCAATTTTGTTTTTTAAGTTATTTTTGCTTTGATTATAATAATATCCATAAAAAATTCATAACAATATTACTCATTTATAATTCTGTTGGATTTTTTACTTAGTTTCTAATATGCATTCATTGTTTAACTTGGCAAGAAATAAAGGCTAATGCAAGTGCTCAAACATGTACACATGCACGGACACACACACAAATATCCGCTGGGCCCATAACGTAAGTACTTTGGACAAAAAGTTTCTCCTAGCAAAATGTAAGAATAGAAAAATAAAATAGAGTAGAAAATATAAAGCAAGACTATACTAATTCCCATTTTCTAATTTTAAAGAATTGGAACTTTCCTACTGAAATAAAAATGGTTTAGGATGAATTTACATGAACTTGGCATTTCACGTGAAGATAACTACAAGTGAATTATCTGGTGAGTGTAAAGTGTCTGTATTAAAAAGTTAGAAGTGAGTTCAACACTCAATCCACCTCTGCTCCCTCTTTTACTCACTACATAAGGAAATCAACACAGAAATGGAATCACAGAAGAACAAAAAGAAAATTAATTTTGGACTTGGACCTGGGTTGTAATTTCAGTTCTAATTAATGTTACTTAACTGTGCCTCAGTTTCACCTGTAAAAGCAGAGATAACACCTACTGTGCAGGATGGTTAAAACAATGATACGTGAATATTGAATGAAGTGACACATGGGGACATTCTTGGTCCATGTGTTTAAGGAAGTTATTAATACATTCTCCATATAACCTCTGGGATGGGCACAGATACTAGAGAAAAACCATAGAAGAAAAAGCTGAACGTTCAATTGATTCTTAACTTTACTTTTGTGATTCCAAATTGGTTCTGTTGGTCCTAGTGAGAGGATTAAGCATATTTTCCCCCGTGTATATGGTTCGCTAGCTTTAGTTATTCCATGCATTTCCAGTTTTCTAGCCAGGAAGAAAGAAGGAAGGAAGAAGGAGGGAGGGAAGTAAGGAAGGAATATCTCTTTATTTCTTGTAAGTACTCGCCACTACAGTTGGAAAAATGGGAAATTAACAAAATGAATAAAATATAAATATTGCTGGTGCAAGCATCTACAGCCCATTACCAGCCTCTGCCATGGCAAGATCTATTCTTTTTCTATTTGAGCTCTCTCACTCCAGCTTTTGTTCTCTCCCCCACATTCAGTCTGTTTCTCATCCTCTTCTGGATAATTACAGTAGAAACAAAATTATCACCCAGCAAAGGATGTGGCAGTATGTGTGCAAAGTTGACCTTAGAAAATCAATAAGTAAGACATGAAATAAAAATAAAAATAAAATAAAAAATACATCCCAAACAGGTCTTTTTATTTAACATAAGGCCAAAGAAGCTATCAGGCGTTGCTGAATACTGTCCACTAACTGTACAAAATATTGACTGCATGCCTCGCAAACACCAAAATATCCGCTGGAATGCCATAGAAATAAATAACTTCTGCTATAAACACATGAAAACATATCAAACTGTTATCTCTTTAAACATATTGTAAATAAAAAAAATTACCAGTACTTCTACACAATAAATATTAAGAAACCATTGACATAGTTGAAATGCACTCATATAAATTAACAACTTTAATTACATTAGCCAAAAAGACATTGGTTAAAGAACTGCATGTAGTATGCAAAAAAACAAAACAAAATAAAAATAAAAACAAACAAACAAACAACATCAACCACAGAACATAAAAAGTTTTAAAAACAAAACAGGCTTCAGATTATCTTGGCTTTCATAATTATATTTTTCTTTTAAAGAAAAATATCAACCCATTGTCAATGCACTGTTTTTCAAAGCATTTAAATAGAGGGTAAAACCCATTGGAAATTAATACAGAAGAAATGATTCACTTTATGCATAAAAAATAAATAATAATATAGCTGAGACATGTGGTTTGCTTCTGCTCTTGAAGATGTGAACAGCTTCTAAGCATTCATTTTCTCTGACCCATACAACAGCTTCTCAGTGATACAGGGTTTAATTTAAACACATACAATGTCCACCCCCAAACTTTCTGCCCACATCTACAAGTTTCATTTATTCTGTAGGTTTTCAGGGTGACTAAGTTTTTCTCTACATTGAAAAGGGAAGTTGCAAAAAGGCCCACAGGAAATCATTTTTTAAGTGAACATGATAATTTGAATCTATGCTTAATACAATTGAGGCATATTTGTTCTCTGTTTTTTAGAGTCATCTCTTAAAGTCCAATCCCACAAGGGTAAAAAAAATATATATACTTGTTCTACCTTTGAGGAGAATGCAGAAACTCTCCTTGAAAATGGAGTGTGGAATCAATCTTAAATAAATATGAAGTTGGCTGGTCTTCTGGGACAAGAAAATACCAACTCAGTGTGTTGGAATTCACCTTAATTTTTTGGAAAAAAAATAGAAAATGTCAACTCGGTCTATAAAGTATTACTTTTAAAATATGTTTGAAGACAAATGCCTTTCAGAGCTTCTATAATTGGTGTGGGCATATTTTTAAGAGCCTAGAGATTAGCCTTAGTGAAAGAGGGGAGAAATAGTAAGATCAGAGTCACTCCCATTTCAGGAAAAATCATATTAGGAAGAACCCTATATGGTAGAATTTAAAAGTTTTTTCTTTTGGTCTTGTCCTGCTACATCAAAGAGTGGTTGCTCACAGGGCTCATATTTTCCAAAATTATTAAAGATGGTAAAATAATATCTTTCAATATTACTATAGACGGTAGCAATTTATAATTCTATTTCAAGGCCACATTAATTTAATGAAGCAAAATTAAAGTTTGTGGGTGTATGATAACCCAATCATTTAATATCCAATTAAAATATAATCATACGGAATTTCATTTCTCTGCTTTTAATTACTCTGGCCACTAATCAAACCCCATATTACCCTCAATATGTCTAGGATGTAAAGAGCTTAAAAAGATGGCAGATTTATTTGAGATGAATGAGACTACACATGGGTATCATCTGTCTTTGTAAATTTTTTTCCCATGGCCTCAATCAGCTCTGCTACTGCACAGTGAACTAGGGCTTATTTCCTCACCCTATTTCTATAGATTATTCCAGGATTAGTTCCAGTACCAAAGAAGATGCAGTTCAAAAGGCTCTCAGAGTTTTCCATGAACAGTTGGTAAGTTGAACATGGCCATCTACTTTCCCCTAAAACTTTCCTCCCCACACCCGCCTTCCCATGCATGTTATCCGAGGTTATCTAGGACCTTCCTGAGGATCCACTCTCAAGCTTCTCACCCAGTACGTGTTGTATTTCCTGCATAAAAAAAGGGAGGGCCTCTAGAACATACCAAGTGCATCTGCAATCTGTAACGACATTAATTTGCCTACACACAGCCCAGTGTTACAGTCTACTGACATAACATATTCTTAAAGAAAAGCTAAACCACCTTTTATAATGTTGGGTTTCTCACTGATATTTTATTTTCCTGTAATTGATTTCTTAAAAACCTATGAATTGAAGAGCTAACAGCTTCCATAGTTTACAAAATATGAATGAATGTGCTTTTTCCCAATTATTAGAATTTTTTTCCAATTTTCGAAAAGTTTTGCAAACTTCAAACAAGTTAGTGAAAACAAGGCTCTGTATTTTTAAAAACACATAAATGAATAACTTATTAGCTATTCTAGGCAAGCTATATACTAGAATAAATTAGATAGAAACTTAGCTTTAAGCATGTACTTTGATATTTATAAAACAAAGTTTTTTTTTTTCCTTTTTGCATCCAAATCAATACACACAAACTCATACATCAAGAGTTTTGGCTATCAATTAAGATATTAGAGATTTTTGCTACTGCCCTCGTCCCTGCCTCCTTTGAATTGCTCTCTTCCTACTCTCACTCTCTTAACACTTTCCCCCAAATCATGTGTCTTTTAACTAGTGACAAGAACATTATCAAACCCAGTGGGTACAAGTAATATTTCTCACAACCAGGCCTGAATCATTAAAAAAAAAAAAAAAGAAAGAAAGAAATACACTCACCTCTTTCATTCTGGCCTAAAGATTATTTTTTTTCCAAAAAAGCTTCTGATGTAAGATTGATTCCAATAGACAATAAATATAAGTTGAAAAAAAATCAGAATTAACCAGAGTTTTGATTAACATCCTGTTTTCCCCACAGGGGATAACTTGTAGAAGTGGGGGTGGGAGGGCAAGAAAGAGGAGGGAATTTGATCCCTGTATGTTTAGCGAGGGCCTTGCTGAATATTCACTGGAATTTCTAGGCTTTATCCTATCCAGATTTTTGAAATGTGCCCACCGAGTTCAGAGTAAAAGCAAAAACTATAGCCTATCCTTCTTAAAAATACTGTGTTTTGCACACGAACATTCATTGCTTTAAGAACATTAAAAAATGACAGCCTGAAGTGCTTAAAATGTGTATGGACATGGTATAATACATGTATATATACACACAGATATGCATATGCACAAGCAATGTATATATACACATACAAGCATGTAGTTTCATGAATTTGATTGAATTTGATATCGAACAGTGTACAACTACTGTACATCCAGTATGAAATGTCCTGTTTCATGGATGTAAAAGGAGTCAAAAACCAAACTTCTCAGGTCTTTTAAGCCTGAACACAATCCACCCTACTCAACCTTAATCCCAACCCCTGACTCAATGATGGTGAATGATACCAACCACAGACAGACTGTTTAAAGGCTCACACAAATGTCTTTGGTGTATGTGTCTATTTTTTAAGGTACAAAATAATAATAATAATTATAATTATAATAATAAAAATAGCTATTTTGTGTGCTGTAGCAGTTCTTTTATAGCTCACATTAAGTGCAGCTCTTAAACCCCACCCCCACCCCCACCCAAAGAAAATACTTGTTAAATAAGGATTAGACAGGTCAAACACCATTGTAGTGCAAATAGTAAACGATAAAAAAAAAAAAACAACAACAACATTTACAAAATATAGAAATGTTTGGATCCAACAGATGGACAAACATATTCCTTTCAAGTATCTCTCCTTGAAGAAAATAAAAATTAATCAGATTACTTCCGATACAAAAAAGTCTCTCTTTTTGTTCTCTCTCAGGTAAACAGTTTCAAACCTATTAGGTTGCATAGTTCTAAGATCATAAGCACCTTAACGAAATGTAACTTGGTATTCTTTTTTCCTTGATCTTTCACTCTTCCCATTCTTGTTCTCAATTTTTTTATGTTGGATTTTTTTGTTTTGTTTTGTTGTCTTGTTGCAAAAGTGGTGCAGAAAAAGAAAGTGTGACCACCTGCACATTATTGTTCTTTTACCAGTATGTGTATGTATGTGGTATGTGGAAACGCCTGTGTGTGTATGTGTGTGTGTTGATATACACAGAGATAGTGTCACGCAGACATACCTTATGACCTGGGTAACTGGGTGGGGAAGTGCCTGCATGGGCCCTTTCAAACTCATGGCTTTCTAGATGCTATTTGGGTTGTGCTAGTCCACACTCCTGCAGACTAGGCAAAGTGATTCAAGGCTCACAAGGGAACTGCAAGGTGGGAGGGGACAATACCCCGTTTAAACAACTGATGGCATCAGTTTGATCTCGGAAGAAATGAAGGGTACACTCTCCCTTTCCCCCCCCAAATTCCTGTCTCCTTCCCTGCTTCATGTCTGAGCCCTGGCTAAGGATTTTTTTTTTTCCATATCTTCCTTCATCTGTTTCATCAGGTTTTGTTTTTAGTTTTTTGTTTTTGTTTGTTTTAAATTTCTATTTTTCTGGTTTGTTTAACTCAGAAACCTTAAAAATTTCTTCATCTTGCCACTGTCTTCTCTGGACAACTCTAGTTCCCTTTCCCCCTGGGCTGGGCGGCTCTATGAGCACCCGCACTCCTCCACAATCATGTTCTGAATGTCCTTTTTGATGATGTTCTGGCCATCATCATAGTACAGCATGGACATGGGTCTCAGCTTGGTGGGCACACAGCATGATTTGAGGTTGGCAAAGGGGCTGTGACCCCGCATGCGGTAGTGGTTGATGACCGTGGAGTGGAAGGACAGCGAGGACCCAGAAGTGCCTGCTATGTGGCTCGGGCACTCACCCTCGCAGTAGTTGGCGTGATAGCCAGAGGGAGCGATGATCCAGTCATTCCAGCCGATGTCCTTGAAACTAACAAAGAACTGTTTCTTACAGCAGATGTTGACCTTGCCATCACACTCCAAGCCTCGCCGGCGCCGGCGATGAGGGTGGTCTTCGGACTGCCGGGCCTGCAGCATGAGGAAAGGTCTGTGCGACTGCTCCTTCTCCTCCTCCGCTCCCGCCCCTCCTTCACCTCCGTCCTTCTTCTTCCCTTCCCCCTCCTCCTCTTTCTTCTTCTTCTTGCCCAAGAGCACCAGGCTGGCGCCACTCTCCTGGCACTGCTCGCAGGCAATCCGAACGTCCAGGGAGCTCTTGCCCTGGTCCAGCAACCGCTGGATGCTGCTGGAGACAGGGAAGACGTGCCAGGTGCTCTTCCGAGCATCCACCACCTTTTCCGATAGCAACAGTTCACTCCTCTCCCCCTTTAAGCCCACTTCCTCGGCCTCCTCCCCTGCATCCAAGCTGCCCTGCGGGTGCTTCTGCTGCTGGAAGAGGCGGATGGTGACTTTGGTCCTGGTCCTGTTGGCCTTCGGGACTTTTAGGAAGAGCCAGATTTCTGCACGCTCCACCACCGACAGGTCACTGCCTTCCTTGGAAATCTCGAAGTGCAGGGTCTTCCTGGCTGTGCCTGAAGGTGAAACACAGCACAAGAGAAAACGGGGATACTTGTTAAATCTGTCATTTGCATCTACTCCAGATTGCAGGCAAAGTCTTCTGTGATAGACCCTCTCAAACAGGGGTCAGTAAATTAAAAACAGTTTGTAACGTTTTGAAAGAAAAGTGGTATTTTGTGACATGTGAAAATTATCTGAAATTTAAACATTAGCGCCTGTAAATAAAGTTCTTTTGGAACACAGCTATGCTTATTTATTTGTATGTTGCTTACAGCTGCTTTTGCACTGTGACAGAGTTGAGTAGCTGTAACAGAGACGGTCTGACCTAAAATATTTACTCTCTGGCCCTGTGCATAAAGAAAGTTTGTAGACCCTTGCACAACGATGAAGAGGGCCTGTGGGGGTCTATGTTTGTTGACTAATTGCTTGATCTGAGTCTCACCTTCTATAAAATGGGAACGGTATAATGACACTTGACCTATATCTCACAGTTTTGGAGGAATCAAATGGGATAACATTCCTGAAAACTCACTATAAGCTCTGGCAAGCTATGGAAATATTATTCCCACACAAAAAGGCAGCCCGCAGCCCCGCCCTGCTGTGCAGGTCTGTGTGGGCGGGACTCACTGAGCCAGCCTCCTCTCCCCTTGTCACAGCCGGCTTCCTCCCATCAGCTCTTCTCTGGGCCATTGGAGCAGCCTTTTCTTGACTTTGCCTCTGTGACATTGAATCAGGCCCCTCTCCAATCATTTCTCCATTAAGCGGCTAAAGGAATCCTTCCCAAAGGTAGATCTGATCATGCCACTCCTTGAAAGTCCTTTACTGACTTTCTATTGCTCTCAATCTCCCCCAGGATGTTGGGCTCTGCATGTGGTGTCCCTGCCATCAACACCAGCTCTCACCCTGTCCTCTTGTTCTCTGTGGTCCAGTTACACCGTGTTTCCTTAAGGTCTTAAGAATCCCACCCTCTCTCCTACCTGCAGGCAGTGCCACCTGCTGTTCCTTCTTCCTAGAATAGTCCTGCCCACCCCCGACACGGCACCCTTGGTGGCTGACCTTAATATGTTCTCAGATTGAACGACACTTCCTCTAGAAGTCTTCCCTCACATCTTCCCCGCCACCACCCTCCTGCCAGTCTGGCTTAGGAGGCCTGAGGTCACCGCCATCGTCTAGTGCACAGCAGAAAGTAGGCAACTACTTGATTACTTTTTAACAAATGGAGGCACCCTTAGCATTGGCTTCTATTAAATTAAGAGAGCCACATCGTACCTCTGAACCCTCTGTCCCTTTGGTATTCAGCTTAATGAACACTAAAAACATATTTCAAACAGCAACTGCTGCTAACAGAGAGGAAATCCCTGCCTTATCAGAGTACCTGGATTCAGCAGCTACTCAGTTCCTGCCTAACTCTAAAATTAGAAAGTCATCTATTTCCATTCCCTCCCATAAGCACCTGTACGTTTATTCAGGCAGCAACATTTACTGTAAAAAGCAGGTGTCCAGAATAGAATGTCTTGACTATATCATTTTCCCTCCTTTCCATTGTTACCACTCAGTGGTCTGTAGAAACGCGTCCCTTTTTCACATCCATGTGCCTACTTACAACTGCCCGCTGTACGTGTAACCCATGTACAAATCTGGGACCAATCTTCAAGAAGTTCATCTTAGAACTCGCAACTCCCTAGGAGGATCTCCCTGCCTGGATTTCTATAGCTAACGGAAATCCAGCCATACTTATCACTCGAGGCCCTGAGATGTTTACGGTACTATAAATTTTAGGCACAGTTTCAAGTTCTCTGCAGCAGAAGGCAGGCTTTTCTGTGCATTGCGTACTGTAGATTCTGTTCTTAATTTAACACACTCTGCACACTGTGATTATGATAGTGGTAAATTCACCGAGGCCAGGGCCAAGCAGAGCTGCAGATAGATATGAAAGGTTCTCTGGCATCTCCGTACAGATTTGCTAGGGTGCTGGCCCCGATGATGATAGTGGTGGTGGTGGTAAGGTGAGTTCCTTTGACTCCGACCTCATGTCTCTGGCAGGAGTCGTAATGAATAATAAGCCTGGGCTTATGATTAGATAGAGCACCAGAGCAGGGAGCAGTTAAAGGGGGGAGCTGTCTTGCTTTAAGAAGCACAGCGACTTTTTTCCCAAAATAGGACTCCTATATTCCCTTTTGCAGAGAACTGGTGGGGGCTTTTTGTTGTTTGTTTTTTAAGAAAGTGAAAGAGAAGATTCCAGGAAGCAGAGCTTAGTCATTCAATCTAAAAGGGCAATCAGCAGCAGATTTTAAGGTGGTAGGGTGCTGTCAAGACCAGAGGGAAAGGCTGGCAGGGACCTTCGACGCCTCTGATACCTGGCCTGGAGGAGTGTGCAGGTTACCCCCAGTGTGGGCACATTCGCCCTGCCCTGCGGAGAATGTTAACAAGCTACCTGCTGTTTCCCCTTCTGCCTCTATGCAGGGCAGCCTCCGAATCCTAAACTGCACGGGGGCTCACTCTGAAGACAGAAAGTAGCTGCTAAATTAGAGAAGCCAGAGGGCACAAGGCTGTGTTTGGTTTTTCTAGGAAAGGGTGTGAAACAGGAGTGTCTGACTCGTTCCAGGGATGGGGAGGCTCACTGGGTTTCAGGAAGTCAACCCCACAGGCTCTGCTCTGCTCCCACCCACGCTTGACAGGAGGGGTCGAGGGTGAAGGTAGATGGACAGCAGTGCTGACCTGCACGCAGTGGACCGTCCACAAATAAAGTCCAGAAATGTCTGCAGATGTTGGGGTTGGGGGGGAGGGTTCATCGGTGGACTGGAACAAGTGACAGCCTGATGCAAATAGCTTTTGCAGGGCCGTGAGGCTGAGGCTGCTTGTTCCCAGTCACACAGCCTGCAGGACAACCCTCATTTCATAAGAGCAGGTTTCCAATGCATGATCTAGCCCCACCCCTTCTTCACAAGCAGCTGTACTTGGAAGCAAATGATTTAGTGTTCCTGGGAGAGGATTGTACAAAGAGAGTACTCATCAGAGGGGCTCAATCTGTCAGGTGCTGTTATATTAGGATCAGAGAGTCATCACAAAATGACTTTCATGCTGGTCTTGGCTGATAATGAACTGCAAGGCATCGCCTGCACAGTGTGGAGAGGCACGGGCGCTGATTTATGCATCGGTTTAATTATCTGAACGGAAAGACTCTGCTCCCTGTATTTGCATCCTCTGCCTGCCTGCTTTATCTCTCCCCCATATTTCTGACATTTGGATTTTCCCCTACTAATTGACATGCCTGTCGCCTCCTTCTCCTGGTGTCCATTTCTGGAACTGCTATTTGTATACTGCATGATATTTTATCAGGAAAAAAAATAAAACTGAGATCCAATTTCATGAAAATGCTGTTGCCATAATGCTCAGGAGAACAGGGGGAAGAGAGAGATTCAAGTCTTCCTAATGTCTACCCTATATGCAGGTACATTTTACACGTTCTATTGTATTCTGACTTATTAAGCAGTGCATATTTCTTTCTTTTACATTAGCTTTCATTGCAGAAGGGGGTGGGGAGATGAGACTGCTGGAAGCTGACATGGGATTGATGTTTGTCAGGGCTGTAGGTTTCAGAAATATACCCTTGAATGTCCTAGGTATGAAAAATATAATAAATAACTAGTCAATTGATTATATTCCCTTTATCTCTATATTACCTGAGAGAGATTGCTATATTGCAGTGACATTCTCAGGATGCCCCAATCTTCAAATCCCTATGCATAACAATTTGAAAAATGGAAGAAGGCTGCCTAAGGCTGAGAGGTATAGGATCAATTTCTAATCAGTTTCAGGTTTGACTTAAATATCTTGTGCTGTGAAATCTTGAAATGGAAGCCTTCCCATAATGCTTCGTGAGCAGGTACAGGTGCGACCTAGGTTCCTACACTATTACCTAGCTAACCAGATATAGCTGGTTGCTTTACTAACCTTTCATTACCTACTCTCTGATAATATTCTTTTCATCCTCTGTGCTATTTTTTCCCTCCCGAGGCTTGTGAGCAAGGCTGTATCACAGCCTGCTCTGCCTGAGTAATTCACTAAGAAAGTCCCACGCAAACCCATGTGGGTGATAATATTTCATCACTTAAACCTCTATGAGCTTGGTGGACACATACCAAAGAGAGAGAAAAAAGGTGCAGAAAAATGGGTAGGGATACATTTTGTACCTTAAAGGGAATACCTTTGAAATGTTGCCGGGTGGGAGAGATTGGTCAGAGGAAAGACTGTGTGAAATGGAAGGAAAGATGCCTGAAAGGGTATTTGCAGCACATTTTCCTTTGCTTTCAGAATTTTAAAAATGTTTTTAGTAACTCAATCATGAAGGCATGCCAAGGGTTAAGCAGCCAACCCCCTTGTGGATCCCTTCCCCCACCCTAAGATGCAAAATGCTGCTTATCCAAAAGTCCAGCATCTCAGATTTCTGGGTGTATGAACATGTCCAATGACATAAGCAACACACACACGCAGTGTTTCAGTTTTGTTTTGTTTTCCTCATGAGGGTCCTGCTTAAAGTATGCTGCCTTTTACATACGGGCAATAATTATGTCTCTAATGTGAATGTGGAAAGCCTTGTTGTTTGTAGAATGTATTTAAACTCACCATGGTGGGTGGGGGGAGAAAGCTTGTTGTAAAAAGCGTCTGTTACTTTAATTTTCCATTTTTCATCAAGGTTTCACTGTGCCTAGATATGGTATAGTCAACGGTAGGGGCATGCACAACCACCATTCACAGCACATGTGTTCTCTGAAGTACTAACTTTGTGTTTGGACTGCTTCCAGGGGTTTCTGCAGAAAGCAGCAAGTGAGGTCTTTAAGGTTATTCCTCCTTTGACCTACAGTAGAGGATCTTTCCTGTAGCAGAACTATAGGTTTGGCCATAAATTATCTTGATGACGTTTTTAGCCTTACTAACTCTCCTTAGGATCCATTATTGAATTGCAAATGCTCACCCCCAAACATTCATCATCCATGCCTCTTTCCTTTAATTGGTGATGAAAAAGAAAGTTAAATATTTAGGGAGAAAGGAGTTTTAGGTCCCTAAAAGAAGTAGAAAACGTATTTAAGGTTCAAGCCACAAAATTTCAGAGACTTCTTCCAAAGTTCCTGAGAACTTTGACACTTTTGATTTTGGACCTAGGAACCAGTCGAGTATGAAAGACTCTGAACCACAGCTAAGACAGCATGCTCAAGTATTTTTTAGCAGCAGAGGGGCCAAGACAGTATGTGTTTGCAAGTGGCAAGTGCCTGGGAAGGTATTACCCCGGTTCTCTAAATGTTAAATCTGACTTTCCACCCTGACATCTCTGCCACCCCCTATTGCCCTTCACAGGCCCCGCAAAACACTCTTAATCTCTTTTCACATCTTTTCCCCACCATTTCTCTCCACACCCTCGGTTTGGAAACAAACGCACGCTCCAAGGCTGAACACCATGTTCCACAAGGCGTTAAAGAAATAGCCTCTTTCCTCCCTATTGGAAGTCCCTTGTCATTTGTCGCTGGTGAACAGTGTTGATAGGGGAAGCAAACCAGGCAACAAAATCAAGGGAGACGGAAGATGTTTTTGTACAACCCGGGCGACCGTATTAGGGAGAGACTTGTGAGCAAATCAGCATCGCTGATGATTCATGGTCACATTTCTCCCTGCTCCGCTTTGTTTGTTTTTGAAATTTATCACTCGTGTGCCTTCCATAGAGCTCCAGAATGTGCACACGTATCACCAGTATTTCCATTTCCTTTCCTTCTGTCTCACCGACTGTGTTACAGGTAATTGTGTTTCTCCCATCCCACAAAATCCTGACTTTTTCTGGAGGATGAGAGAGAGCAGGATCTAACTGATAATCACCAAGATTAGGGCGCTGTAGACAGGGGCTTGGGTAGGCACAATTGCCTTTCCTTGCAAGATTAGCAGACAAGAAGCAAAAGTCTTTGGAACGCGCCCTCTTGTGGCCGATCTGTTCCCGTTACTCAGAGAAGCAAGCATGTAGCCCCTAAGGCATCCCTCAGTGAGGGGTGATCCACGGAAAAGTTCAAAGATTGGGGTGGAAGGGTGGGAGTCAACTCCACTTTGAGATGGCTTTCTCTGGGTGGGGGAGGTTAGTCATCCAAACAAGCCTTCTTAGACCCCTGTTTGGCCAACGTGAATGTCTAACTCCAATCTCCTGCAAATAGTACCTCCAAGAGGGGAGATTTATATGCTGCTTTCAACACCACCTAGGCTATGTGAGCACATTTGTCTTTCTCCCCCTTTCTTTTCTACAAGTGCTATCAATTGCTAAGCTAATTACCAGAATCCGCATCTAGGTTTGCATCTAGGTTTGGCATGGAGACTCAAAGGTATATTGTTATTGTGCATTGTGAATCAAAATGAGATAAGATAAGCTGCATCAGCCAAGAAGGCCACTGATGTTAGCTTCACTACCAATCACAGAGAGTTGGCTTGCTTTCCCCATCCCATCTACCTTTCCTTTGAAGAGAGGAAGTCTCTTTAAGGCCTTAAGGTAAACATTAAAGATTTTATGCCAGCTATGCAAAGAACAAACTAACCTTGGTGAGCAAACTTGGGTGACATGCATAAAAAGAAAATCATTTTCATTTGTTGGAATAAATTTCAGAGAGCCTTAGAGCTAGTCCTCGCTGTTTAGTCAGTGACACCTCACATCGGCTTTATAAAGATGGGGCCCGTTCCACATAAGTAGAATGGGACAGACTCAGTTAAAAGAGTTTCAGGCACTTTTGTAGCCCCTCTGCTTCTGGGGCCATGCCTTGGCTTTATTCAACAAGCAAGGAGAGAAAAGGCAAAAATTAAACACATATCCCCAAACTGAGGAGTCTCCGGGTTGAAAGGTGTATCTCTGGCAATCTTGTGGCAACTGACACTTAGGGACTAGATTTTATGCTATACAAAATAGTTTATAGAGGAAAGAAAAATGCATGCCTTTTCCTATTCTCCAAAAAATCTTGACACTTTACATAGTTGGAATGTTATTAAAGTTGAATTATTCCAAAAGCAACAAGACATAGATCTTTGCTATTCATTTTCATATATTCGGCTACAATCATTCAGATGATAAATATCTTTTGCCTGGGTTAGCAAAATAGGCAGAAAATGCTCACACGGTACTCTACCTGAAGAGTAGATTTTTCCAAACAGCAACCATGAAATCTGTGAAATTATATTACATCAACTTGAAGTTGATGTGTAAACTCCTTAGATGAGAAAAATAAGCAATTGTGATAAACCTCTTCTAAGAATCCAAAGTCAAGTTGTAAACTCAACCAGGAGGAGTTTGCCATTAAAAAGTTTACTTAGCGGGTAAGTCCAGTGAATCGCTTTTTAAAAAGTAGCTCATTTTTCTTTTAAACTAAACACCTAACAGAGAAGTAAAAAGAGAAAATCCCATATAACTGGGAGAAGATTGGCATCGAGGTGAAGGGCATAAGTAAGAAAGAATGTAAATGGTCACATTCTTTCACTGCCAGATCTCTGCATGCCAAGAGAGTGATTTGCTATACAAGTCTAGAAAGTCAGAAAGAGGGGCATATTGCTAGCACCAGTGTGCAGTTAAAAGCAGTCAAAGGCATTGGTATCCTTGGTCATATGATGTGGTTAAAGCCAATTGAGTAGGAGCTGCCATTGAGGCCATCCTGTGTGAAAGTTGGTATATAAAGACATATACAGGGTCCCTTTGTGTCCGGACATGGAGCCGCCCTCTAGACCACTAGAATCCATTCCATACACATGACCAAATGCCATAAATGTTTTCTTTCTTACCTAACCACCATGAAAGGTTGAGTAAATTGGGTGGCAACTTGAAACTCCAAACTGACTTTTTTTTCCTCAATAAGCTTCATAAGGTAAAGTCCTAATGATCATGACCTTTGGGGCTACATCAAGAAAGAGATTTAGAGAAAGAAAGTAGCACCTTTCCTAAAGGATAGAAGTTTCTAGTAAGAGAGCCAAACTGCCCGGGAAGCTTATGGGAGACCAGGGCTTTTCCTACAGGGGGTGGGGGGGGAGCCACGAAACCAGCAGACTATCTGCACCCCCAAAAGGATGCTTAGGTCTTTCATGGTTTTCTTGAAAACAGAACATCTGAGTCAACAGGTTTTCAGGATTGGAAATTCTGAGTGTTGCCTTAATTGTTTATACTGCTGCGGCAAACTTTTAAACAAAAATGCTGGGAGTCCCTGCACATACTTTACTGGCCATATGCTCTACCAAACAAAACAATGGCATTCCTTTCAAATGGAGTTGGCAAGGGATGCGATTCTTTAGCCTGGCATTACCATGAAAGTAACACGGCATTAACACATCTGTGTGCCCAGCGTGCATGGGCTTGCAGGCATGCAAATGGATCTGTGTCACTTAACTATAAAAATAGTCTGGCTCCAACTCTGTGGCCCCATACTTTTGACAGGTAGTTCTATTCAGCAACAGGTTACTGTGGTCCTAGACCAGCGATTAGAATCTATTTATTAAAGTTCTTTCCCTTAAGGATTGAGTGAGAGTTTAGCGTGGTATCTGAGAGCAGTTTGTCAAGGTTGCGTTCCTTGGCAGAGAGCTCTTAGTAACTTTACAGAGAACAAAACTGTGTGGGTTTTTTCTTTTTTTTTTTTAAGTTCAGAGAGCAAAAGTCAGTGTTCCAAAAGTGACTGCTGGTTCAATGTCAACTGTCCTCCAAAGTAATTCTTTACTGCCTAGAATGTGGTGCCTGTGCACTTATAGACAGTTTCTAAAGGTACAAATGACGGCCCCTAATAAATATGCCCTGCTTCTCTGCTGTGGCCCCAGATTGGACTTTTAAAGGGGAAGGTTTGTTTTAAGACAATGACTTCATCTGTGCCATTCCACCTCGATCCTGGCACTCTCGATTCCCACTATCCCCAGTAAAAACTTTGAATGGGGTCTGGAAGCCTCCTCTGCTGCCCATTCCCCCCCACCACCCCCAAAATGCCCCGGCTTTCAGATCTGGTTTCACAGGCAGGGCAAGGGAGCCCCTCACAGCCGGGCTTCCAGTTTGAGACTGGCCCAAGAGCTTCCTCCCCGTGTGACCGGCTGAGTTTAGCAAGTGTAAGCCAGTCATCTCCAGGCAGAGCTCAGCTGAGAATTCCATTTCTGTGAAGTCCTCTCCCCCTTCCCTGCCTCCCCTCCGCTGGTCCGCTACCATCACCTAATAACTAATAACCTCCCCAGGCAGTTTCCAGCTGGAAGGAAAAGAAGTTCCTCCTGGGACTGTCAAAGAAATATATTTTACTCCCCCCGCCCCCCCCACCCCCCTGTAAATGCCAGCACCAACCTGATTCCGCAAACGTGATGATCTCCGAGGTCTGCTCCATAAGTTCATTCATTTCTGCCCTCCTTCCAATGTCATCCTCTATCTCCACATACCCGTTCTCTCCCACTTTGCCCACATGAAGCTTTCTGATCGCGTTCAGAAGCGCCGCCTTGGGCACCGGCTGGGTGACATCGGGTCTCTTCTTCAAGTGCAGCATGTTTAAAATGTGCTTCTTGACGGCTTCCACCATCTCTGGCTGAGAGTTGGGTACATCCTTTGGGAGGGTGGCCAGCGCACAGGACGGACAGTCGGGGGCTGCGCTGTGCCCCTCAGATCCTGGGGTGGGGGAACTCCTCACTATAATCCAGCAACTTGCCAACAGAAATCCTCTCAGCCAAAGCAGGGGCATCCTGGCAGCAGAAGTTGTTGTGATGGCCTTTTTAAAAGGCCCTGTGTTTCCTCCCCCCTCACGCACAGGTTTTTTTTTTTTTTTTTTTTTTTTGGTTTTTTTTTTTTTTCCTTCTCCTCTTCAGCAAATTCTCTGGAACAAGAACAAAAAGTTTTCTGTGAAGTTTTGTTTGCAGGTTCCCTCTCTGAAAGCAGTCAGTGCTGTAGGTTTGTGGCTGTCAGGGAGGAGAGTTCTGACTGTCTCCGAGTAAGAGAGAAGGAAGGAGGGAGGGAGAGAGAGGGAGGGAGGGAGGGAGGGAGAGACAGGGTGGGGGGGAGACAGACAGAGACAGAGAGAGGATGGGAGGGAGAGAGAGACAGGGAGAGAGGAGAGAGGGGGAGAGAAGAGAGGGAAAAGGGGGGGAGGGAGAGAGAGGGGGAGAGTGAGAGAGGGAGAGAAGGATTGAGAGAGAGAGAGAGAGAGAGAGAGAGAGAGAGAGAACGGATTGGCCCTGAGTGAGTGAGTGAATGGAGAGGGAGGGAGTTTGTCTGTGAGTAAAGCCTGTGATGGGGAGGGGAGGGACAGCCCGTTTCTGACAGGCTGCTCTCTCCTGCTCGTAGCTTCCTCGCAGACACCTCTCTTCAAATACCACCATACTCGGGGGTTCTACTTTCCCTTCTAAAATAAATTCTCTTAATTTTGTTCACTTCTTCTTTTTTTATTTTTTTCTTTCTCTGCCCAGTCTCCTGGCTTCACCTTCTTCCTTTTTTGGAAGGAGGGGGAAAAAAACGCAAACAAACACAGTGTCTCAATCAACCAGGATGACTGGATTTAGAAAGTCTGCCCCCGGCACCCCTCCGCCCTACCTGGCCACAGCCCTAGGTGACAGAAAGTCCACCTGGCCGGGAGGTGGGGCTGGGGGCGCTGGGAGGTCCAGCAGGCGGGTAGCGAGGTCGCCGAGAGGGGCTCCGGCACCCGAGCTGCTCTGCCGGGAGGTGATTGTTCTGGCCCATTGGGGTGCAGAGGAAATGCTCCTTTTCCTCATTCATTCATATTTAAATGCTCGGGGTCGTCAAAACTGGCGGGAGATCTGAGAGAGCTCAACAGAACTTTTGTTTGGGGTCAGATAACACACTCTACTTTTCCCAACTTCGAAATGCAGTTGGGCAGTGAAAGACCCTAAAGGCGGGCAACGTGTCACATGCTCAAGTTGTATGAAGCGATCTCCCCTTGTCCTCTTCAGCTGCCCCCTTCTGCCCGGAGCACACTCACTCTCACACATTTCAGCCTACCACTGCTTGCCCCGACTTCACAGATAAAAATGCAAAATTCACTTGGCCTTTCCCACATTCTTTTGTAAAAAAGAGTGCACTCTTATGCCTTGAATAATGGGTCCTTAGGGGGAAAGAATCTCTAATATATATTGGCAAATTATTTTTCGCTGTCATGTGGTAGTTTTTGCAGCTTGCCCCCATCCTGTCCAGACCAGCGCAGTCATGGACAGCCTCCCTGCCTGCTTCTGTTTCCCTCAAAGGAACAGCGCAGATGAAACCATCATGGATTTTAGTGTTCACAGAAAAAGAAAAATGTGAATTTTTAAACAATGCCTTCTGAGGCTTTTTTTAAAAAAAAAATTCTCCCCTCCTCCCCTTTTTTTCATTTTCTGTCTTATTGCTTTTATCTTGCAGAAGTATCTTTAAGGGGTCCATCTGTTAAAGCTTGCCTTCCCTCTCGGTTTCTTTCCCGCACATAAGCAAGCCCTCTTGGTTTCTGAAGATAGAGTCAGCTTATATCTGACACCTAGTGTGTTCAGAGCATTATAGTCAAGCAATGCAGTTTGGGTGGAAAGAGTTAATAAGTATCATTGCTACAAGCAGAAGATCTGAGTGCAAGAGGAAGAGGGCAAGAAAATTATGACACTAAGCTAAAATTACAGTTTGCACAGGTAACAATGCTTTTCTGAATTGTATACACTGTCTCCTTTTCCAAAACAAGGATTTGCAAGACTTTCTCTGTCATAAGTCACCTAACACCTTTGGGGTTTCAGATCCAGGAACATCAATTACTCTGCTATTATTGTTAAAACTTTGTCCACATTGCCCAAAAAGCCTCCTATTTTTAGTGGGGGGGTGGTAAAAGAGAATGGGGGAGGCGGGGGCATTTGTGATATAATGGTTTAATAAAACATCTATGTACTATAATACTTAACATCATCCACCTATTTGGAGTCACATATACAGTACCCAAAGCATTTTGTAGTCCAATTAAGTTTTACAAGAGAGTCTGAAATAGAACTAAAAGTTTAATGACTCCAAACGACTCAACAGTCCTAATGGTAGCATTTAGATAAGTGCAACTTATCAATATTTGGATTCTCTCTGCATGTGAGTATGTGTGTGTTCCCTGAATTTACTGTTTGCGAATGTAACTCTTAAAAATAGCTTTCTCTTTGGCATATGTACTTGTATATATGTGCTGAGTGGATTGCATAAACACATAATCTATTTGCATGCTCTCTAGGACTATTAAAAGCTGTATTAACCTGCCTGAATAATACAAAAAGGTACAAATCACAATGCACATGGAAGTGCCAATTAGTTGTAAAATTCCTTCTAACTATCCTTACTTTGAATGTGTAAAGAGCTCAGAAGTAAGAGTTAAAAAGCATTACCTTTCTGGTCCCCTCTATTTCACCAGCCGGCTCTTGTATCATGTGGTAAGAGCTGTCTGAGTTCCTCTTCATGATATTGGCACTGTGAAGTTTTATACTGTACTACTTATTTGTACACTCACACACATTGGTACTACTCAACGGAGGAGGGCTGGGGCTTTGTTTGGGATTGGTTAGAATCAGCATGACATCAGCGGATGACTGGTTTTTCCAGTGTGAGACATTTCATAATTCATTATCTAATGGAAAGCCCTTCCTGGCTTCTGAGACACTACTGGGTGATGCACTGAGCCAGTGAAACCTCTGGCTGTGACTAGTCTACCTTTGAGAAAAATACTGGAATCAAACAGATATGTCTCAATGAGTGTGTCCAACTTTCAACTTTTCTTTTACTACTCATACACACACACACGTCTCGTTATATTCAGGTTCAGTTTTATGTCTTTACATAAAACATCTGTTACTTCATGAAGTTGCCTCTATTTACAAAGTATTTTATTGTTTCTTACAGGGAAGAAAGTTGTAGTGTTTGTTTTTTTTTTTTTTACAGGGATTCTAATTTTATTTTTTTTAAATAAGCTATTTCATTGAGAAAAAAAATAGGAAAAATCTGTACAACCATAGGATGATGGTCTCCCCTCCCCTGACTGACAATATTATTTTACATCTTGAAATTGAATGCCTGCTTCATAAATCATTAATCATCAATAACTTTGAAAATAGTCATTCTCTGCAAGGGAACTTCATAAGTATTCTTCCCAGGTCTTTAGAATCCCATCATAACTAGCAAAAAGAGACAAACAAACAACATGACAATAACAACAAAAAACTCATGCACATTCTTCTTTACAAGAGTTTCAAGTCCTATGATTTCTAAATTGTTACAAATTATAACATGAGATTAATGAAAAGAAGGGAACACTCCTTGAAATAGTGACAAAGTTGATCAGGTGGGTATTTTTTTTGGGGGGTCAGGGGGAGTACTGGCAAGTCTGGTCCAGGAGACAGAGGGAAAGAACTCTCAGACAAGAATGGTGAGGGGTTGTTTGAAGGAGTATAGTTGAAGCATAAGCCGTGTTCTCATGACAAGTTGGATAAAATGTGCAAAATGGGGAGCTAATGAGAGCCATATGACCAGATATGTTGTTTTGTATGCAGGATTGAACATGCATAAAATAAACTTTTCACTGTGCCCACAAGCAAAATATAGAGGCTCTGGCCTCTTGATGTGTGGTTTAAGCAGGTTCCATTAGGACACCAGAAGTTTTCTGTGTAAGAGGGTCTCTCTTGGCTAGACACAGAGAAAGTGTGGGTGCTGAGCTGCATATGGGGGAGGGAGAGGAGTATTCCAAGAACTGCATATGCAGAAATGAAGTAAGAAATAAAACCATTAGGTTGTAGAGGAAGAGAGGGAATCTAAGTGGTAAAGACAGAAATAGGATCAGTGATGGTGAACTCCAAACCCGCCCCCTCAGTTTAGCATGGGCTGAACTCAAACGCTTTTTGCTGAGAATCAGCAGAGAGCAATGGGCTTCAGGGCATCTATACTGGCCCCCTGCCCCACACATGACCACTATGCCCCCCCACTTCAGACCCCAGTTCCCCTGCTCACAGACCATGTAAACTCAGGCCTCAGTGTTCCCATCTATAAAATGGGATCTATCATATTAGCCTGCAGGGTCAAGTGCAGTGGTCTGAAAAGAATAAGTGATAATTATTTCTGAGAAGCCTGGTGGCTCTTTCTAAACATCTGTGTCCCAGGAATCTGCAGCACTCTGACTAGAGGAGCCACCCTACAAGAGTGACTCTGCCTCTGCAACCGCACTGGCCATCTGATGCCACCGAAGCGCCCACCTGCCAGGCCAGCCCACCTAGCGAGATGGACTCTCCACCGGGACCCCCACCTTGGAGCTGAGCCACAGTGGAAATGCCTCCTCACTCAGTGGAAATCAAGGTGGGGGTGGCAGAGGAAGCAGGCAGGTTAAAATAGCTCCCCTGGAATATTCTGGACTGGGAATGAGCTTTCCCCTCCCCAACTCAGGGGGCCCGGGGCAGAAGCTGGTCAGCCCAGTCTTGACAAGAGTCTCCCTCTCCTGCCTCGGTTTGGTTTCTCTTTCACTTCCTGCCCCCTCCCCCAGAGCGTGCCCACACCCCAGGCCCTCGGTCCCGGCTCCTCGGCCCTGCTACTGTACCTTGAGCAACACCTGCTGGCGGCTTCCTGGGATCACGCCGGAACGCGGCCGCTGCGCGAGCCCAGCTCGCGGGACGCCTGGAGTCAGGGCCAAGCCGTGCCGAGCGGCCGCCTCTATTTTTACCCTGAGCACCAGCAAGGGCAACTTCTTTTAAGAGCAGCTCTTGATTTTTCCCCCCTTTTGGCAGCTAAAGAATTCAGGGAGGGGAAAAAAAAATTCACTGTTCAGTGAGTGCAGCTGGGAGTCTCTGAACCCAGCCCCGGGTGCCAGGGACTGGAGCCACAGCGAGCGTCAGGGGCCGGGACGGGCGGCGGGCCGGCGGGCTCCCAGCGCTCGGAGCGAGCCGGGAGCGCTCACGCACCCGCCGGCCGCCCCCTTGCTTGGTTGTGGGGTTCGGTCCCAGCAGCTACCGCACTGGCAGAGTGGCCCGCTGCCACCGCGTTATTCACCTAGCGGAGGCGGCCTGATTTACTGGCTACTTCACAACCCTCCCAACTCCACGCTGGAGCGTTTTTGCACGGCTCTGTTCTCGCCTCGAGGAGCAGCCACTAGCGAACCCGGTGGAGCAGCTTGCTGCGAGAAGGAGCCGGGAGGGAAATTGTGGTACCTTATTTTACTGTAATTGCAAAAGGAACGATGTGCCAGAGATTTATATTTAGAAGTTGTATGTTTCTACTTTTATGTAAATGGAGCAATTAGGGCCTGTCTTGCTGCTGCTAACTCCAATGCTTGTGCATTGCTGGGGAGCTGGTGTTTTCAATCACAATTAGTGAGCCGGTCAAAAAACAAAGTTCGTTTAAGGATAAGAGCTCAATTGTGCGAACCGGGGAGAGGCCAGCGTTCGTGTGTGCCCGCCTGTGGCTTGCGGTGACACATACCTTAGGGGCACTGCTAACACTAGAGTGGTGTTTACCCGTGGCAGCAGCTGTCCCCGTTCAAAGTTGGCATAGAGGAAGAAGCAAGAATGTTCACTTTTCTTCTCAAGCAAACCGTATGTCCTTGAGCTTCCATCTAAGGCTATTAATTGGTCTCTTTCCTCACTACTCCTGGAACAAGGAGACAGGCCCCCCCCTCAAAAGGGGTCATTTTTCATGGCTCTGTTATTTTAGCTGCTGCTCAGGGATTGCTGTTATTTGGTCAAAAATACGAGCCAGGAGATAGGAACACCCCACGCAGGTGACTGGGACGCTGCCCTCTGATTCAGCCGAAATGACACAAGGCCGGGGGTTCAGAGGCTTAGACGAGGCTCTGCTGACAAGTCAGGGTGTTTTAGTTCCTTCCTATGAAAAATCTGTTTTCAAAAAAAGCATGATTTCTGGTTCATCCCGTCTGGGAAACCGAACATAAAACGTGACTATGGGGAGGAATCAAAAGGACCCGAGGTGTTCCCAGCAGCTGAAGTGTTATTCTGGGGCTCAGGCAGGAAAACCTGGCCCTGTTGGTGAGTGGTGACTCCCTGGAGAGGCAGCTATGAATCCAGAAAACGTGGGCAGGATCCAGAGTGATATTTGCTGCAGTGAAATTGCAGGAGTCTGTGATTAAGGGTCTCTCATCAAATGGTTTAAGTCGCATACAGGGTTGGCAAGCCCTGCCTGTTTGCTGGACAGCCGCAGCCTGCACGTAGCTTGGGCTGAATGTTAGATGGAAAGATTTGGGACAAAGAAAGATCAGCATTTCACATTCAAAATCGAACTGGGGAGCTGTTTTGCTTTTAAGTTAAATCAAAGACTAGTTCTAAACAGTGAGGGAGAAGGAAACATGAAAATTCCCCTGGAATTCATGGAAAACAACAGGGTCAGAAATAGTTAATCCAAGACTCAATTCCTAAACCTCACATTTCTTTCAGAACCACTGGCATATCCTGTAAGGCCTTCTGCTATGTAAGAGCGCTCTGTTTCCCGAGTATGTGGAAATACTGTTGCCTGAACCGAGGGAACCCAGATGCTAGAACTAAAACAATTAGGGAAAGAAGATGAAGGAAAAAACTCCAGTAAGTAAACTCTTATTCTTCATTCTAGAGCAGTGGTTCTCACCTGGGGTGATTTTGCTCTGCAGGGGACATCTGGCACTGTTTGAAGGCATTTTGGGTTGTCAAAAACGGGAGGGAGATGCCACCCGCCCCTGGTGGGTAGAGGCCAGGGATTCTGCTACACATCCTGCAATGTACAAGACAGTCCCCACAACAGGAAATTATCTGGCCCAATTGTTAATTAATTGTTCTGCATTTGCATACCCTGATTTAGAGTTATAATTTTAAAGTTTCACCCCACTCCCTTCTCATCCATGCTCCAAGAGGCCTTGGAAAACAAGAAAAATATTGCAACTATGCAAACTATTAATGATTCAAGTGATTCTGCTTCCCCGTGCATCTCGTGGTGCCCAGTTACTAGAAACTACAGATACCTGAAACAGTAAGAGTTTCTTTCTGGCAATATCGTTGTTCCAACCAACTTTCCCATATGGCCTCAATACATTTTCCTGCTGGCTTTTTGTTCTAACCAAAAGCAGAATCTTGGTGACCAGCAACCAAATGAGATGAACTGGCCTATGCCCAAGTCGTTAGGAGGCAACAGACATGCAGAAGAGTAAAGAAATGAAGAACCGAATTGTTCATTTTAGCAATTCAGTATTAGATAAATCCATGCACTAGAGAATTCCCCGGAGGAAAATTCACAAAAGTGAGATTACCATGCCTTTCTCCTAGTGCAAACAAATATGATGCAGCATGATTTTATTTGCTTAATACCTTAGGGGAATGACTTACGATCACTATCCGAAGAGATAAAACAGAGTGCTTTGTTAAACCCTAATGCTTGTTGCAAGCAACATAGTATTTTCCAAACTTCCTTTTTAAAAGGAGGTCGTAAGGCTGTTAAAGGAAGGCCATACCTCTACAGGTGTCTCTGTCCTGTGAGGACTGGAGAAGCTGTTGTGAGGGAGCCCACATCATGAAAAATAATAATAATAAGCAACAAGTGTTGGTGAAACGTGCAAAGGGGAAGTTGCCTGGATCAAACTAGCTTAGATGTGAAATGGTGTCTTCCAAACGATGAGGGCTAATTTCCCTGGTTCATCACTTAGCTCCTGAGTGGCTTGGGTCATCCCAAAAGAAGAGGGTAGGTCAGAGATCGTGTTAAGACGAAGAGAGCCATGAAGGGAATGGCTTAGACACTCTGACGCCATGTCATCTCCTAGATGTGAATCACAGTCTCCTCAGGTAAATCGTCATTTTGGAACCAAAGGCCTCAGTCAACTTCCAAATGACTCAAAAATGCCTGGATGTTTCCCCAAGAAGTAACAATGTAAAAAAATCAATATTGAGAGAAATACTCATTTACAACCTCTATAGAAAAACATACATTGAAAAAAGAAACACACGAACTCAAACTGAATAAATATGCCCTCAAAGTTCTTCTTGACCAATATATATTTCTAAATTGTTTATCGTAACTCAGTTCTAGCCCAATCAGGAAACATCTGCTACAACAATTGATCCTCTTACTGTCCCAGAAGATTATTGGAAAATGCTCCCCAAAGAACATATAACAGATTATCGTAATCATTTTTCTCACCTGGATCTGCTTGGGTAATAAGTTCCATTGTGCTGACTTGAAGACATAGAGTTTTAGCATATAGATTCCATTGGACTGATAAGACAGCAGAAATCTTGATTCTAATCCAATTTTGCCTATCTACAAAGATACCCCTAAGGCCTGTTCCCAAATCGTAGCTTCAGAGGGGAAATGCCTGGGGACAGTCCTACGTGTATTTTTATCAGTGAATTGCTGCCTCCCTCATGTCCTGATAGAAAGAGTCCAAAGGTTCGGCCCCCCCACCCCCAGGAGCAGCTCTGAGGCACGTCCAGATGGGCAGGACTTGAGTGCCGCTGTTCACGGGCACTGCGCACTCCCACGTACACTGGCAGCGGCTCAGCTGGGTTAGTAAATATTTCCAGGTGCCCCATTCTAATTTTAGGAAGGTCAGGTTTGCAGAGGTGAAAGAGCAGGCAGGACTTCTGCCACTCTTTATCGGGTTAGCAAAGCAAACTCTAATTAAGCCAATATTCTTGTGGAGTTTAACTGCAATCACTGAATTCTACCACGTGTCTTAAACTTGCAAAAAATAACTTATGGCTACAGTCCGTTTTCTTAGGACTCATTGAGTTCCTCTTGAAACATGGAATAGCATGATGAATGAAGGAAGAACCATTATATTAGAAGGGGTGGGGGGGAAGCTCCAATAAACCTCTCTCCCAAAGGCCAGAGGTTAATTTGTGATCGCTTAATGAAACAGGGGCAGAAAGCCAGTAATGTAATTTTGGCCAACTCCAACATTATTTAACTATGAAATGAGAATAATTAAAATGGTACTCCCTGTAGAAAAGACTTCACCCAATAAGTTCCCAAAATTTCAAGGAGCTTTTGTTTTATTAGATGCTGTTAGCTTCATGTTAGTCACAGGGAAAAAAAAATGCCCACATACACACGCACGACTAAATGTAGTCAGTTTGCTCAGCTGCTGCTGACGTCACTGCTGCCCACTAGGAGTGAGTTACTGTCATAACCCCTCTTTTATTAATCACAGGCTGGAGGAAGCACAAAGTGGGTGACATCATTAGGCAAAGGACTGGCTAACTCATGCTCCAATTTACTCAGCTTTATTATAACATTTCTCAAGTGTCATATGAAAGTGATTACCATTTCACACTTTCCCCCTCTGAGCAATCATCCCTAACCTTCAATTCAAACTCCCAGAGAAAAGCTTAGCTTTTCAGATGGAGGCCAAATCTCACTACGGGTCCTTGTCCCAAGAAGGAACGTCCTTCTCAGAACAGCTTCTTCTTGGGCTTTAAATGGAGGTGGCCTTTAGAACGGTAGCATCCCCCATAACTCTCTGCTCACGCTGGCCCTGGTGGTGAGCTCCGACTAGACAGGACCCTGATGATTCAGGTGAGCACAGCCACGCATGGCTTCCTGGCGACCGAGGGCACAGGCCCTGCACCCCAGGGTGCTGATGTGTGAGAAACACCATTTGAAGGCAGGGTGGAAGGTCCTGATTGGATGTGTGGATCCTGCAGTTTGCAGACTGGATCCAAATTCAGGATTTGCCACCTTTGAACTCTGGAGGATGCCAGGCCAATGACTTAGTTCCTCCGATTAATAAATGCTGGTACCATTAGCACCTCCTTCTGAGAGAGGATTGTCACGAGGGATAGAGGTACCAAAGCGTGTGAGGCACATAGAATGTGCCTGGTATGTAGTAAATGTTGCTTACTGGTACTATTTCTCCTCCTTTCCTTAAAAAGCTTTGCCGGCTCAACTGAACCTTCTGTACAACATTGGAAAGATGAGCCGACCCAACTGCACATTTGGCTCTGTCGCTGGCTGGAAAGTTACAAGTCAGTCCACCTCTCTGTGATTCAGTTTCTACACCTACTGCTATTTATCCCATGAGAAACTTCTGAAATTAAAAAAGGCAAGTGACCAAAACCAAAAGAAGACATCAGTTCAAAGATTCTCAAGAGCTCAGCATCGTGGTTCTGTTTCTTTTTGAATAGACAAAATTCTCAGGCTGTTCAGTAGCTATATGTGTGTGTGTGTGTGTGTGTGTGTGTGTGTGTGTGTGTGTGTGTGTGTGTGTGTATTTGAAAAAGGAGCAACTCCACAATGTTGTATGCATCAAGAAAAACAAACGTTTTTACCGCAGACTGAGCTATACTTCATCGTCTTAAACTAGCATCTTGGGGCCGTAGGAGAAGCCATTTTATTGGTGTCTTCACTCATCCGCTTGCTTGCATTCCCATCCCGAGGGTATTTTAAGGAGTCAAAATAAAGCTTACTTAGGTGTGTGTGAGAGACAGAGTGATAGTCCAAAAGAAAAGGCTGGGGCTTTGCAATATTTAGATAATGATGAAACTGACTCGGCTGGTGCAGAGTACAGTAATTACACAGGATGATTTATTGCTTGGATTCACCTTTGCTCAGTAGCGAATTACAAGAATTCTACTAGGTGAGAAGGTTGGCTTCCAAAGTGATCAGCTGGTACAGGATGGAACTGCCAGCCCATGTCACATGGTAAATAAAATAATAATCTGTAGCAGCTTTAGGATTTCCAAATTGGAAGCTTCCTCTAGACAACAAAGGATGCCAGGATATCTGGCTGCCTCCTAACTGGTACCATGAAGAATATCACATACTTTTTAAGAAGCAAAGTAGGATTCAGGTACAGTTTGTTGGTCTTCAAGTCAACCCCTTAGGAGGACCAAACACAAATCATCAACAAGAGTGCTTGCTAATTGTGTGACTAGAGGAAACTGTCACGGGGAAGGGAGGGGGGAATTAAAAACTACATATTCTTCTTCTGTGAAAATTTCTGAGAAACTCACAAAAGGAATGTTACCGACAGAAAAAGTGAATCCTGACTTGTGGAGCATCCCAGACTGAAGAGGAGATCCAGCCATTGTGCCCGTGGGAACAGGCTGAGGCGCCCTCTTCTGGTGCATCTGTATAGAAAGCGACGCTGTGAAGGAGCCACCAGGGGCACCTGCCCTCTGACCCGCCCACTCCCAACACCAAAAATCATTGCTTTTTAAATGACATCCATCTGGATTTAAAAAGTGATACACATTCTTTGTATAAAATATGGAAAATATAGGTAAGTGTAAAAGATACAAACCACACATCACCATCTCTCCCAGAAATAGTCACTATTAAAATTTTTGTGTGTATAAAACAATATCGCAAAACTGTAATATTGATATTTTTCACCTATTGTCATATGTTGAGTAGTTTCAATGGTCAAATTATTCCTTGAAAACAGTAATGACTGGGGAGTAATCTATCAAACATAAGTGTCTTTACTTTTAAACCAGTCCAACTATTATTGTACATTGAAGTCATTTCCAAAATTTTGCAATTATAAGTTGCAAAGATCTTTTTATGTTTTTTTACTACATCTCTGATTATTTCCTTAAGATACATTCCTACCAGTTGAATTATTGCATCTAAGAATATGGACATATTTAAGATCTTCATCTATATTACCAGTTGCCTTCCTGAAAGTTTTTACCTTTACCAATAGTGTTCTCTGTGTTTTGGCATAGATATCATCATAGTTCCCTGCCCCCTGCCAAATATAGTATATGCTTTGTTTTAATTTGGATTTTAAAATTATTAATTAAGATAAAACATTGTCCATATGCACAACTTTCTTTTGAGTTGCTGTTCATATTCTATGTCCCTTGTTTATCTCTTATTAATAAGAACTCCATTCATATACTGATATATTTTAAATAAAATTTTATTATATATAAATTGATATTATATATTACAATATGTTATTATTAATGAGAACTCTTTTTATATTAAAGACCCTAACTTACTTTCTGTACACATTATTATAATTTTTCCCTGTTTGTTCTTGACCCTTTAATTTTGTTTGTAGTGTTTCAGACCAAAAGAGGGCTTGAAATTTTTATGTAGAATCATTGAATGAATGAATCTTTTTCTTTATGCTGAGGCTTCTCCTTTGGAAAATCACATTGATATACATCTATATTTTCCTCTCAATATTTTTTGGACTTTTATTCTTTATTCCAACATATCTGGAATATATTTTGGCCTAGAGAATAAGGAAATTTATGAATAAATTCTGCCACTAATGAGAAGGAACTAAACAAAAGAGCAAAGAAAGCTAAAGAGCACACTTGAAAACTAAGAATCTTTAATCAACAATTTTACTTACACATTCAAAAAATTTGAGAAACCAATAAAAACACTTGTCAAAAGTGCAATAGAGGAAACTGTTCCTGAGATGAGAAAAGGACTAAAACCATAATTTTGTTTCTGGCTTTCTTTGGATGATTAAATTTTAGGGCCCTCCCTCTCTACTCCCTCCCTGCTTTTTCTTCTTCCTCCCTCCTCCTTTTTCTCTTTCTTCCATCCTTTTTTTCCCTCATGGTGTTACATTTTAAAAATGAACATCTATTATTTTATAATTAGAAAAAGTTATGTAATTAAAATACTGTTTAATGATATGCTATTATTAAATGATAAACTTTGAATAACTACAGGTGTAGAAAGCTAGAATTATATATGGTTGTGATAAAGCCTGGCCTAGGAAATGGTATTTTAATCAAGATAACTTTGGGTGTGGACTTGAGTCCCTACATAAAGACCAGGGATAAGAAAGGCTGGAGTTAAAGAAACAATATAAAACCGAAAAAAGATATGAATGAAAAGCAATAGAAACAATAGATAATACATCAATGGAATGAAGTATAGTGCTTATATGTGTAATATACAAAATGTGATTCCAAAGGGGAAAATCCATAAACAGTGCTGATTCAATCTTTGAAAAGAAATTTTTAAAGTAATAGCTCTTCCTTTTCTCA